TTTTAATTACAAAGAAATAATCTGGCGACTGTTCGTGAATTGTATACACAAAGGATGTCTTCTTTGGTAATTATTATCATGTATATATAATTTTTAATTTTAGTAAAAAAATACCCTAGTTACGATTTCTCGTAGTAACAATAACTGTAAAACGAACTGCGGATTCATTTAATTATGCATTTGGTGCCAGGCTTCGGAAAAGGAAATGGAGAAAGAGAGAGAGAGAGAGAGAGGGGCTCTTGAGGCGTGCCAAGTGCTATTTCGACCTTATTTTCAAATTCCAAATGCATAGTTGAATATGTTTCCTTATCGACCACACATTTGTCAATCGCGTGACTCAACTGAAATAATAACTATGCGCGAGTGTGTTAAAAAAAAAAATTTATGAGAAAATAATATGGCACGTCTAACTATTTGGAATCTTTGTAACTTGGATTGGGGATTTTAGTTGCGTGGAGTTAACGAAAACTCATTTGAGTACTAATATATATATATGTATAATGTGACACAGTGTACATAATTACCATTGATAGGATTGAATGTACCAATTTTCATAAATGATATTTTTGAAAGTTATTTTTACACGATAAATATTGAATATTGAAAAATCGATTACAATAAGTTTGGAGAAAAAGCATCAATAGAAGCCTAAAAAATTCTTATAACGTAATTGACTTTCAGTGTCAAAATTTATAAGTTTTTCGTCGTCAATAGTTTTATTTTAAACACCTAATGGAAAGAAATGTACACTTCACAGTAAAGTATTTTTTACAAAAGTCAATGATCTTAGTAAAATAAATTTTTTTTCTTACAATGTCGTTTTAACGCTCTAAACAACTTACACTATTTTTTTTATTTTTTTAATCTTAGACTTTACGACGAATATACTTTTTGTTAGGTGTAAGTTTATCTCTACAACATATCGAAAGGCCAAAATCCTTTTTAAATGATGAAAACGTCGTTTTCTGATATTGTATTTTTAAGTATGCTTTTAATACTAATAATATAGTTAAGGTCAAAAACCTTACAATTCATGCATGCATTTACACGTGTTTACATATTAAATTATTACATTTATTGCACATTTTATCTGCTGTTCACGAATACTTAATCGATAAGTTTAATTTACTGCAATTGGCCATTTAAATTTGGCGCGTGAAATACATTTGGCTCCAAGGGTGTAGTCAAAATTTACGTTACCGTCTGCCGGCACTAGAAGGACTCTGTAAGACGTATATACAGGAACGCACTACTCGGCTGACTCACACAGTTAACACAGTCACACCGCACCCTTTTTACTCGCCAATCTCGCCATCATAGTGCTAGGGGCTAGGAGCAAACTCCTCTAGTCCTCTGGTGTCGGCCTCAGCCATATTTTCTCTCTGCACTTGACTCTCGTAGTAAGTTTTCTCGTGTTTAACGCTAGTTAGCATAGCGCGCTCCTTCTCTCGCCAATTTCACTGTAAGTGTACGGAGATTGCAGAGTCGGCTTGGGTACATACCAAACAAGCATCATGGCGCAACGCTAGTATATTGCAGCTTGTGCTTGTGAAATCTTTTAGGCGTCTTAGTAATTGTATAATAGTTGCATCGGACCAGCACAACATCCACGTTGCGCGCCTCGTCCTGGCCACGTCTTCGTCGAAGCGTTCAAGGCTTCGGGGTACACCTCAGTCAGAATAAGTATAATATAGTACTTATACTCCAAGGGTTATACATCGCTCCGGTGTGCGCCAAGGAACTCCGAAAATTGTATCCCCACGGATCCACGCGTAACCGCCGCCTTTTGCAGCAATCATGGGTAAGTAAGAGGTGTACTTGAGAGCACGTAATACCTATCTGTTAGGAATTAGGAAGCGAGAGGTTACAGATGTCTGTACCTACACCGCGGTTGAGTCGTCATTTTTCTTGGTATGGTTGTGTGTGCATGCCATAATGCGCTCATAATGATGCCGATGGTTTAATAGGATTGGGAATTGGGACAATTGGGCATATCACGCATACATATATTATGTACATCTGTACTATACCTACACTATACTTGGATTTTTATCGATAACAGGGGAACGGCGACGACATGACTACCTATCACATTTTAGGGTATATGTGCGTGTGTGCGAGCCATTGATTAAGTATATTGTGATTAATTAAGATAGTGGACATGCCTCTCCGAGGTTAGTTCACTTAAGTATAAAAAAAAAAAAAAAAAATTTTTTTCAAGTTGTCATGTTTCATTTTCCACTAAGTAGAGGTTAGAGATAAATTAAGCTCTAAAACTTTAAAAATTCCGAGAAAATTGTATAAGCAGAATAAAAATGNTATTTATTTACTTTTTAACTGCGTACTTCCTCGAAATTTGTGGTATCAAGCATCTTTTCTGGTAGCTTGGATCCAAAAAAAATTTTTTTCAAGTATGTTGTGATTACAACAGTATACTATTGAGAGTATAGCGTTGATGTGTTGGAGGCTATGGATCTGTATATCGCATATTGTGTTTTACCGGCCTAATTTTTCTGATGCATCTATATGTACAGCTTCCTTATCTGTAACACTACTCCTTTATCTTCCATTTATTATACAACAGCGCCCACGCGCATGTCGATCCATTGATCTCTGCTGTGATTACTTATATGATTATAAATGTACGATTGAAAGTAACGCACATTCACGTGGTGGTGAAAGTGGAGTTACGCGCACTTGGCTTGTCGACTCTCTTCTGTAGTTTTTTCTTTTCCAATACCTGCATACTTATCTCAACCGCATACCGCACAACGCGTATAATACGTACATGTAGTTATTAAATTTACATATATATTTATTTGCATCACAGTCCTCTGTAGTGTACCTATGATATGAAATAACGTTATTTTTATATACATCCATGTAAATCTCAACTTGGCTCTTATGCTACTTTATTTCTGTTTTGAACAAAAAAAAAAATCCACAAACTAATCTTAATCGACACTTGGTTCGTCACCAGATGAACACGAAGAGTTGGATATGGGTGACTTTGAGATAGTGGATGAGTGTGAAGGTGAGGACGAGGATGACCAGAATGAGGTCCGTTCCTACGGCTCAGAGGACGACAACGACGAAAATTACGACTCTTACCACAGTGCGGATAAGGATATCAATGATCCAGAGGACGTCAATATCGATGACAATAGTGGCGATAATGGCGACAATATACTCGACGTCTCAATTGACGTCTCTGAGAACGACTTCCTTGAGAATGTCGCCAAAGACTTCTCCGAGAATATCGAGGAGCAAGTCGAACAGCGGATCACTAGGTCAAAAATGACCCTTAGGAGCGGCAGACAGCCCACTGTACAGCTTAAAAAACTTGAGAGCGTGCCATTTGAGCACGAACCCACGATTAAAAAGAAGCCAGGTCCCAAATCCAAGACTATGAACATCCCCGTGACACCAGCTAAAAAACCCATACAGAAGATTGTATTCAACGATTCAGATAAAAAGGAGGTAACTGTAAAGAAGGAGGAACCTAAAAAGCCCACAGCCAACAACAGCCAAAAGAAACCCAACGTTCAAGCAGCTCAAAAAGAAATCAAGAAAGAATCAGAAAAGAGCAAACAGATAACTCCAAAAAAACCAGTTCTTCAGCGAAAGACACCAGCTTTCTTGAAAAAAGACCTCACTGATGAAGAAATTATGGAACACTTTGATGAAATTGAAAACTCAGTTTTCACATCTGACAGTGTTGTCATACATAACGATGCTGATGATGAAGAAAAAGACAAAGATAAAAAGGACGAAAGTATTACTGACAAAGACAAAGCCAAAGAGCTCAGTAAAGAAAATAAGGAAGAGGTCGAGTCCACTAAAAGCGTCGAAGAAATAACCCAGGAAGAAAACTGGGATAAAGATTGCGATAAGTTTAAGAGAAAAGAGCCAAAAATTAAAATTGAAGAAGAAGAGTTGAGCGAAAGTCATGCGTGGTATAAGGAAAACGTAAGATACTACAATCATACCTCAACTAAATTTTTTTTTATGTTTAATATTAATGTTCAATGTCTGTTCATTTATCTTTTAGATTAAATCCAAAGAAAATCAGGTTGAAGACAAGTTCACAAAATTAGCCAAATTTATACAATATTCATACCCATTGTATAAAAAATGGCTAGATAAAAATGAATCTTTATTTGGAACTGCTATATGCAAAGTTGAATCTTCTAAGCATATTCCCCTAGATCAGTTATCTCCAAATCGTTGGAAATTCGTTTGTAAGTATAAAAGCAATAGCATAGAGTATTTATTTTGTCCCTCACTTTGATGTTAATTAATAAAAGTAAAATTTAGTGATGAGTAATGGAAATTGTTAGGTTTATGTCGTATTATCAGTTTAGATAAGTTTTTGCTGCTTTTATAATTATGCACTGTAAAAATGATGAAAAAAAAAAAAAAAATTAGTTACACTGAGTCTACATCTTCAGAAAAAAAAACACGAGTGATTATTTTAAATTATTGTTTTCGGAACTTCAAGTATTTAATCAAGGATGAAAAAAAAATGAAAAATGATCTGAATATTATTGCTTTTCAAATAAAAAATCAGAAAAATCTTTAATGATTGTTTTTGAATTACAAATAAAAAAATTTTTAAGTTTCCTCTGAAACGTGGAAATTAATTGTTTTCAAAAGCAATATGGCAATGTTGCAAGCTTTGTTTTAAATAAAAGCATAAATATATATTTAAAAATCGTCTGGGAGGTCTGCAAACTGTTCGAAAAACAGTTTAGCAAGACTAAGCAACAATAAATAACAAAGTCAGATATTTTTTCTTAAATATTGTGTTGAAAAAGAAAAATTTATATTTGTTCATTTAAGTAGTTGATGGATTTGATTCTAATTTTAAAAACAATAAGGCGAATAATGGTAACATATTGTTTACTGCGGGAAATCATGTCTTAATAAGAAGCAGGGCTTATTTAGTGTATAAAAAAAAATTTTTTATTTCTAATAAAATTGTGGAGACGAAAAGTGATGAATTTTGTGTGGCATGTTTAGGCAGTAAAAAGGTTATTCAACAATCATCAGAGGAGGAGGATAAGCAGGCTGATAGTGAATCTTGTAGCAACAAGAACGCTCAGCAAATCTGGCAAATTATTCCGGGTGTTCCAGATGCTGATGTGGAAAATACTGAAGAATATCCACCTTTTGTTATGCGTGTCGTAAAGGTACAAATAGTTTTTGGTAAATCAATGCAATTTAAAAACAAATTGCTTAGACACAACGTTGTACAATGAAATCGAGGGATTGATGGAAAATTATTCGTCATACTTAATTATGTAGAGATGGATTGTAACTAAGAAAAGAAAAAGTTCAATTCTGTTGAATTTCTTAGTTACTATGTTATTACGAAAATTAAACAAGGATGTCAGGAACACTTGAGTAACCATACAACGAGTAATTCTCAAAAGATGAACTATGTTTACCTCAGGAAAGCTTGAGATATTTTAGAATGTACAGACCACATTATCAGTCTACAAAATTAACTAGTGACTTTAGCGTGTCAGAAAGTATACTACGTGACTTTTTCAGTAAATCGAATATCTTATGGATTCATATGAGGAATAATGTTGAAACCAAAACTTTTTAAGAGGAACGAATCGCGAGCTTAAAAAATAGATTGGCGTTTAATTTTCTGCAGCTATGGATACAAATTCGTAAAATCTACAAATTAATCTATAGAATTTAAGAAGAGGCAAAAAATAGTACCAGTTGCCATAGTTTACTCTCGCAAGTCATGACAGTGAATCCATATTTACTCCATCAAGAATTATCAATGATACAACAAAATGTTTAAAAAGTTAAAGAACAATCAGATACCCATTTCTATGGGCATTAGGATATTAATGCAACTAAAATTCTACAACAAATATCATTTCTTGGGTCTACCATTAGAGTATTCCATCTTTCCCTTGTGTACACTTGTGTTACATCACCACAAATAGTTGAAAGTCTGAACCATATGATGATTTTTTTACTTACGAAGTAAAATTTTCATCAAGTTATTTGGAAAGCGGTTTTCACTGCTAACGGCTATAAAAATGAAATCAACAATGTTGGTAAAAAAAAATTTCTGTTTGTAATGCTTCTGGCGGTCAAGGGTAATGTTTTATATCATTTATTAAGCGCATATGAGAAAAAAAAGGTGTATTCGTTAAAATTTTTAAAGTATTGTTTTTCAAATTATCTGAAAATTGAGTTTTTTCATGCAATCAACTTCAATTTTGTTAATGCGTGTTTCTAAAGAAAAAGAAAAAAACGTACCAATCAAAGGTACTGTCGACTCATGGTGCAATATTTAATATTAATATTTTCTTTACAGGTATTTGAAGAATTTCTGCAATCGTTGGATCAAAGACTAATCGACGGCCTTGACAGCATCCAAAAAGAAAAGGACGATAGCAAAGATGAAGTCGAGATTTTGGAGATGTCCATCGATGATGATGGTAAAAAATCTGAATCCGCTGATAAAGAAGAAGCAAATAAAGATGGTGCATCGTCTTTTAAAGATCTCGAAGGATTAAGTATTATGTTGAGATGCAATCGAAAGCAAGAATTGATGATGCACATTACTGGTAAAGATATAAAACCCCAGTTGATGGATAAAATTAAAGACCTCTTTGAGAATGGCCCTGGTAAGGAATGCAACGTCAAATCTCTCTACTGCAAAACAATCATCAAGTAAGTATAAAGAAATTATATGATGCATACATTGACGTTTCATTTGTTTATACTTGACGTTCACTTTTTAGAGACATGCATGTCATTAAAACGAACACCACTTTCTTGCTGGGCTCAGAAATTCTTGAAGATGAAGTAGGCTCTGTGAAAATTCAGTTAGCACCTAAAAACAATGCTTGGACCAATTTATCTGGGATTGAGTTGTTAGCAAACGTAGTTGGTGAATTTCTGGTTCCTACTAAGAAGACAAGTATAATAGAAATTGGTTGCGGAACAGGTCTCATAAGCTTAATACTGGCTCCCGTGAGTATTCGTAACTTACTGATACTACACTGTTTACCCTTACATTATAAAATTAAGGGTTGCTTTTTCTTTATTTAGCAATGTCAAAAAATCATTGGTCTTGATGTACAAAAAGAAATTGTTGAGGCAGAACTTACCTGTGATCTCAATGAGATAAAAAATGCTACATTTGTAACTGGAAAACCTAAATTAGTCATGAGCCAAATCGATAATGCTCTAGCTGAGACTAAAACTGTAGCTGTTATAAACACCAACAACGTATTTGGACGTTGTAAGTAGATATGACAATATTATTTATTAAATAGTAGGCAAATACAACAAAAAAAAACAATATTTTACAATTTTTACTTTATCTTACAGCTCCCGACGTCATAGTTGCGCTCAGAAAAATGAGCAATCTTGGCCGCATAGTCGTAATAACCAACTTGTCTAAGCAAGCGATGCGTTCCATCTTAGATTTAGTCCAACCAGCAAGCGCGGAGTTGGGAAATCCATTTATTCCTATCAAAGCATGTATAGTGGATACAACGCCTAAGTCAAAATATGGTTTTGAAATCGTCATGTCGATGGAGCGTCGAACGATGCGCAACCTGTTGAAGATTTCTTCCGTTGATGATGTAGAAGAAGAAGATGACTCTCAAACCGTTGGACTGATCAGTAAATCGAAGCAGATGAAAGCTGCGGCGGCCCTGAATATCAATCCCTTTGCCAAACCTCATTTCATTAAGAACTTTAAAAGTAATTATATTCCTGGTAAAAAGTTTTTCCCTAACCCAGTTCCCTATCAAAACAAATTTGTTGGTCCAAAACGAGCTTTCCCTGGTCCCAGCCCCTATCCGTATAACAATCCTGCCAAGAAGTTCAAACCATTCGAGAAACCATGGATAGGTAGTGGAACTTTTCACTTCGGTCTGTTAAAATATAGTTCACATTCTGTGTAATACATTTCTTACTTGTATATTTAGCAGGTCCAAATGCGCGTCCAAGTACAGGTTTCGACAAAAAACCACGAGATGAAGGTGATTTGCGTGACAGACTCTCCAGCAATCGCGACCCAGCACAAGACCAAGAGCAAAAGAAGCTGATGGATGCTCTTGGTAAACTATCCGGCGTTGATTCGGAGACCGTCAAAAAGCTGCAAGACATGCTGAATGTTGCTATAGAAAAAACTAATAAACTGCAAAATCAGCTGCCCTCGCGATCATCCGTTTGGGATAGAATAGCACCGTCAGATCACGGTCCGGAAGATAATTCGTTAAACACCAGTGCTCCTATGAAAGGACGCTTTGTCAAAGAAACTGGCCCAAAAGCTATTACCATCACAACGTCCAATGATAGAGAGCCAACCCCTCCTCCTGGATCCAAGAGTAAAAAATATCACAACTTACCTCCTTTAGAACCCGATAGACCACCTCCCAAAAATCCCCGTTTGAAGATGACATCATCTGTCATTCAAAAGCCAAATACTGCACCTTACTTTAAACCTGCTCCAAATCGTTTCCAAAATAACTATCGCAAAGAGCCAGAGCCAGGTAATTTTACTTTTCTGTTAACTAATAACTTAAAAATCTTCCTTAGGTGTATAATAAATCATTAATCGAAACGTATTATGATAATTTTTAGATTCTTGGAACCGAAGCAAGCCATCTCATCCACCTAACGATCCGTATGACAAGTATCGTCCTGGCTCTCCCAGAATGCCTCAACGACAACGGTCACCGCCACCGCGGCAAGTCTCGCCTCCTCGTCGGCCAGTCTCACCAGTTCGGCGAGTCTCGCCAGTGCGACGTGCCTCGCCGATACGTCGAGCCTCACCGCCGAGACGACCTGTCTCGCCGCCACGCAGACCAGTCTCTCCTGTCTACCGCCATCAGCATTCCTCATCGTCGCGAAATATTCCGAACAGACATAACTCACCGCCACGTCGGCCCTTGTCGCCTCCTGCAAGAAAGAAGTCACCGCCCTCAAAACGCTATGCCGACGAGTGGGACATACCGAGTAGGACTGCGATTGACAATGCCTGGCAGAGACAGGAGAAGGAGAAGCAGTCGAGACCAGAACCATGGCAGCAGGGTCCGTCGTCTTCGACCTCTGGCTGGAATCAAGGGTTAGTGTTGCCCCAGTACATCGTGTGTTTTTTAAATAATAATTTTTCTATATTAATACATTAAAACCTTTTTTTTTTGTTTACTTCTATTTTTACAGTAGCAGCAGCAGTAATAGTAACAGGTTCCGTCAAGAGAGTGATACCTGGGATAATCCCAGAACAAATACTTGGGATAATAAAAATCCAGTGGCACCTCAGCAGACGAGCTCCGGTGGAGGATGGAAAGGTTCCGGTATCACGAGTAATTCAATGGGTGGAACTAATTGGGATGTGCGAAAAGAAGATTCTATGAGAGACATGGGTAGACAAGACATGAGACATGACTCTAGAAACGATTCTCGACATGACTCGAGAAATGATTCGAGACATGACTTGAGATGGGAGGGCCCCGAAAAGTCGTTCAGGAATGATAAAGATGACTGGAATGATTTACCAGAAGATGCTCGAGATCCATGGGGTGACGATCATCCATCGAGCTCACAATCAAAAGATCACCGCTGGAATGCTCCAAGTCAGCCTGCTCAGGCCATTACTTGGACAAGAGACAAACCTAACAACGACAACTGGTCGAACAAACCTGTTTTCTCTCAAAACAACATGGGTGGTGGACCTGGCATGAATCAGAAAATACCTAATGCAAACATGAATATAGGTAGTCTTAATCAAAAAGCTTGGCAACAGCATCAGCAGCCACAGCAAAACAGAAATCCGAATTGGATGCCAGCTAGTAACTGGCAAGGTGGTGGAGGAATGAGTGTACCTCAGGGTGGTATGGGAGGAATTGGAAATGTTTCCATGATGGGGAGCCAGCCAAACAGCTGGCAGTCAACTCCACAACAAGGCTTCAATTTTAACACTAGGCAACAACAATTTAATAATCCCTTCATGAATAACAGGCGTTGAGTAGTTAATAATTTTGGATCATAGGTTTCAAAGTGTATTTAAACTTTTTACCAGATTAAAAAAAAAATTAAAAAATTAAAAAAAATGAATGGAAGGAAATAATGTATGCGATTTATTTTAAAATACAATGATTTTTCTAGTACTGTCACTGTGATTGAATACATGAGTTGACTGGATTTTTTTCCCCATCTTTTTTCCAGTTTATTTATAGTGAAAAGTTTATAGTTTCATGTACTTTTAAGTATTAAAAATTATAACACAGTGGTGTACATTTAAGATTAAAATCTTCAATTGTAATATTTATAAATTTTTAAATTAAATAAACACTACTTTACAAATTTCATGATTCCTCCATTAAAAGATTTTTGTTACTGTGTACTGAATATAATAACTGGAATAAATATATTACATAAAAAATATTTGTTTTAGTTTATCATCGTTTAAGCATTATTAATTCTATTATTACCAAAAATATAAATATTTTAATATGCCAATATAGCACACAAGACAGTTGGTCGAGTCAGTCAACGACTTTTTTCGGTATTTGTTTAAATAGACAGTAAATCAGGTAATCTTAACTTCGATGTCTAAAATTATATTATAGATGATTTATGTCATCGAACCCGTCTAGATCACAATACAATAATACAAAATTACAAATAGTTAAAAATGTCAATCTTGATGAACTCTGTTAAAACGGACAGTAAGGATTGAAGTGAATACAGAAATACCATCGTGCAGAGCGTAAAATTCTCTATTAACTTTAGTATTGTCCCGTTAAAAATTTTGAGAAAAATTATTTTGTATTATTTTTGTCTGATGACATAAGAGTGAACAAGAAAGCGCATAGACAACCATACAAATGTGCGATTTTTTTGCTTTTGCATATTATTTATAATCGTACACTCGCAGTAATAGAGATATAAATTGTTATAACTGATATCTATGTAGAGATGAATTAATATCTCCATGTGTGCACTGTAAAACGGTAAACTATAAAATACATAACTGTACATTGTTCTCACCAAAATCTTATTAACAATAATGTTAGGATCAGACCACCGTGGAGTAGATTTATCATAAAAAACAATTAAATCTATATTGCATTAGTGTTATTAGTATAAGTAAGTTTATGGCGGTTATCGGCTAACCAAATTGTTGACGTGTATAGAGACTAGTATAAAATATTTAATTTAATAAAGATTATTTTTCGAGAAAACCCGTAGCTCAGAAACCCTCCAGACGTTTTTTTATTACAGATGAGGTGTGCTTCCATGAGTTAATGGTAAAAAGTCTAAAGTATTGTAGTTTTGTAAATATGGTCGATTTTATAAGCCATACATGATGAGTAGAATATTTGTATTTATATTATATTAATATTTATACATTTGGAGGTCAATTTTCGGGTAGAAGATATATTGTAAAGTTACCGCAAATAACACAGACAACGTCATCTTTTCATTTTCTGTAAACAAAATTAGTTGCGGCTAGTTTATAATATTGATTACATGTCTACTGTAAGTAGTTACAGTTATTTGGATCAGCGCCATCTAGCGGTATTTTTTTTTTGGCAAAAGTGGCCACTAAAATTCTGAAACAGAGCATAAGAGCTTAGAGCAATTTAGTCTATTATAAACCAGCCGCAACTCATTTAATAGCTTTAAAATAAAAAAATAACAATACGTGTTTTTTTGGCGGCAAGTTAACAATTTATTTTTTACCAAAAAATTGACCTTCTATGTATGTATACTTTTAAAGATTAATTTTCGAGTATAAGATAAATTTTTAACTTGCCGCCAAAAACACATGTATTGTTATTTTTTTATTTTACAGCTACAAAATGAATTGCGGCTGGTTTATAATTGGTAAAATGGCTCTAAGCGCTAAAGCACCGACTCAGAATTTTAGAGGCTACTTTTGGCGAAAAAAAAAAACCGCTAGATGGCGCTAATCCAAATAACTATTACTACTTATAGTAAAGCCATTTTATTAACTATAAACCAGCCGCAACTGATCTTATAGATAAACAATTAAAAGTTGACGTATTCTGTGCTATCTGCGGCGAGTTGACAATTTATCTTTGATCCAAAAATCGACCTCTAAAAGTGTAGATATTTTACTTATCTTATATGGCTTATAAATTCAACCATATTCACAAACTTACAATACCTTAGACCTTTTACCATTAATTTATGGAAGCACAGCCCTTCAACTTTTTATTGTTTAAATAAACAGTTAACTTACAATCAGATTCAAGAAAAAAGGCTTAAAAAAGAGTTTCAGTCACACGAAGAGTCTCCTAAGAATAGAGCATTGGATCTCACTAAATAAAAAATACATTTATTACAGAGAAGTACATTCTAAGTTTTATAAATAAACAAAGAACCCGACCTTCTCTGATTAAGTGATGGTGTACTTCTCACTAAATAAAAAATAAATAAAAATCACTTAATCAGAGAAGGTCGGGTTCCTTGTTTATTTATAAAACTTAGAATGTACTTCTCTGTAATAAATGTATTTTTTATTTAGTGAGATCCAATGCTCTATTCTTAGGAGACTCTTCGTGTGACTGAAACTCTTTTTTAAGCCTTTTTTCTTGAATCTGATTGTAAGTTAACTGTTTATTTAAACAATAAAAAGTTGAAGGGCTGTGCTTCCATAAATTAATGGTAAAAGGTCTAAGGTATTGTAAGTTTGTGAATATGGTTGAATTTATAAGCCATATAAGATAAGTAAAATATCTACACTTTTAGAGGTCGATTTTTGGATCAAAGATAAATTGTCAACTCGCCGCAGATAGCACAGAATACGTCAACTTTTAATTGTTTATCTATAAGATCAGTTGCGGCTGGTTTATAGTTAATAAAATGGCTTTACTATAAGTAGTAATAGTTATTTGGATTAGCGCCATCTAGCGGTTTTTTTTTTTCGCCAAAAGTAGCCTCTAAAATTCTGAGTCGGTGCTTTAGCGCTTAGAGCCATTTTACCAATTATAAACCAGCCGCAATTCATTTTGTAGCTGTAAAATAAAAAAATAACAATACATGTGTTTTTGGCGGCAAGTTAAAAATTTATCTTATACTCGAAAATTAATCTTTAAAAGTATACATACATAGAAGGTCAATTTTTTGGTAAAAAATAAATTGTTAACTTGCCGCCAAAAAAACACGTATTGTTATTTTTTTATTTTAAAGCTATTAAATGAGTTGCGGCTGGTTTATAATAGACTAAATTGCTCTAAGCTCTTATGCTCTGTTTCAGAATTTTAGTGGCCACTTTTGCCAAAAAAAAAATACCGCTAGATGGCGCTGATCCAAATAACTGTAACTACTTACAGTAGACATGTAATCAATATTATAAACTAGCCGCAACTAATTTTGTTTACAGAAAATGAAAAGATGACGTTGTCTGTGTTATTTGCGGTAACTTTACAATATATCTTCTACCCCAAAATTGACCTCCAAATGGATAAATATTCTACTCATCATGTACGGCTTATAAAATTGACCATATTTACAAAACTACAATACTTTAGACTTTTTACCATTAACTCATGGAAGCACACCTCATCTGTAATAAAAGAACGTCTGGAGGGTTTCTGAGCTACGGGTTTTCCCGAGAATAATCGTCCGCTAGACAGCGCTGATTGAATCTTAGCTGAGCATATATATTAAATTAGATAGATGAATGTTGTCAATATTGTGAATAACTATTATGAGTTCTACGATTGCGTAGTATTTTGTTATAAGTTAACGATTACAAATTTAACTGCTGATAGTTTTGTAATTCACCCTTGGAAATAAAAAAATGCTTCTATCAAGGGTGAGTTTTATAGTTCATATAACTTCACGGTAATTTGAGGTTAAGCTACTGCTTAAAAATAGCAAGAGAGTGTAGTCAATAATAAACGATCTAATAATATATACATTTCAGATCGTAAATGAATTCACCAGTGTTGTAGTCAGACAATTACCGCAAAATAGGATACTGGCGTCAATGCTTTGTAAACAGTTTTCAAGTGATCTTCCATCCACAGAAATAGTAAGTTTTAATAATTTTTTTGACGTTCAAAGATATACATACAGTATTGTATACATTGATATTATTTAAGGCCAAGCCTGATAAGTTGTTTAAAAAAATAGAAGTTGAAGTACGGGGTAATGACACAGCAGTTTTACAAAGTTATGGGACGTTTGTCACGACAGCAGCTAACCACTTGGGTATTAATGTTGGTCACAAGTGAGTGATTTTTTTTCTGAATTCTTTTTATTCTATTAAACTTACCATTATGCTTGTGTATGTGTTGAAGCTTTGCTCCAAAAAAAGGAGTTCATGAACGGTTGACCCTTCTCAAGTCAAAGCATGTGCACAAAAAGCATAGGGTTCAGTACGAAACACGAACCTACTACAGATTTATGCATTTTTTGAAACTCACTGGATCAACGGCTGACACATTTTTAGAATACATTCAGAGGAATTTACCAGAAGGAGTGGCAATGAAAGTGACAAAGGTAAGCATTTATATTCAGTTCTTTCATTTTATGCAAAAAAATAAATACAGTAAACAATAAGAGATTAAGCAATGAGAACTTGTTTTCTCACTCCATGATTTTGATTTTCAGATTGAAATCCAAAGGTTACCCGAGGCCATAAGCTCGCCTCCCAGCTGAACTTAGTCCAAATCCACGTAAGCGCTTTAGATTGTTAATTTTCCATTTGTATCATGTTAATGATGTTGAATAAATTGTTTGTATAAATACATCACAGTTGTAAAGATTAAGTCAGTGCTTCAGAGTCTGGACAACAATTATACGCGCGTCGTGTTCCAAGTTTCTTGCAGTGCCCTTTCTATCCAGCTCCGGCAAGGGTTCTCTCTTTTTAAAAATCCTTGGCATATCTTTGCGCGCAGCTTTAACGTCGACCGTTCCTAACGGCGTATCTGTCGTGCTCTTCTCAACAAAGTGTCGTCCTTTCGGTCTCGGCCGGAATCTCAAGTTACCTCTCAGGCGCTTGTTAATGTAGTTTGATCTCAAGTTGTCTAATGCTGCAGGTTCCTGAGTGAGTTTTGGCGAGTTAGAATCTTCCGCTATGAGCTGTGACGCCTCGTTCGTCCGGTGTTTCCGCGTCAGTTGAACGCTCGCTATGCAACTGCGCAAGATAAAATCTGACTCTGGAACAAAATGAATGATTAATTGTCGATTTGTTTTTTATGTGGTCTTTTATGTGAAAATATTGTACTTTTTCCAATTTATTTGATAAACCTAGAAATTAACCAATACATACATGAAAGATCGTACGCGATTTAAGTAAATAAAAGTAAGTTTATCGCTAATTGTATTTATAATGATTTGTTCATTAATTTTACCGTTGCTTATCTTACCGAATCCCTTTTTACACGTCAACCAACTCGACGATAACCAGTTCAAGGCTTTATTTTATTTTTGAGCCATAAACTGATGATCAATATAATTTATGCGATTAAAAGATCTATTTCGGGTTTTTTCAATTTTTCTTACCAGCTCGTTTCGAACGGAAAACTGGACGGAAGTTAGCACCATTGCAACCATCGACGATCATTGCTACTCCTGCGGTGATTAAAATAACGTTCCACTTCATTTTACCGTTACTTTATGCTAATGTAAATTTTAATTACACTTTTAAATTTAAAAACAAACAAAAAACACTTGGTGCATTAAGTTTATTCTAGGTACACTTCACACTTAATTGTAATATTAAATTTTTCAAATAAAAATCTTTGAGTATGCCCTCAGTTAAGAAAAATTTAATCAAACTCAATGTAGGAAATAACGCACTGTATTTCGATTCCAATTACCATGAACACTATAAACCGATCTCGAGGTAAGTAAAATAGCCCGGAAAATTGAAAATCCCTCTGGTCTACGATAAAAACCTCGAGTCGACGCGCGAAGTCAAACTGCCCGGGTTCCTTTGCCGATCTTTCTTATTAGCGCCGCTACCACTTTCCTCCTCCTCTTCCATCTCCCTCTGCCTGCCACTCTTGCCACCACTGCTTATGACCGATCCAAGCATTTGCACCTTCACTTTGCTCGCGACCTCCCTCTTGGCAGTTTCGTCTCTTCCCTCAATCACACATCATCATCATCATCATCCATCGAAACAATAATATGGGGCTCCAGTTTCTGCACCTTGTACCCACAGATCGGTAGCGAGAAAGAGAACCGGTTCCGGCGTGCCCAGGTGAAATAAGTACATACCCATAATTCGCATTGGCATTGACACTGCGGCTGCAAAAAAGCCGGGCAAAATTTTTTCGTGCCAAAGGAAATAAAAAAGAGCCGGACTTACTAATGTACAAGTGCAGAGCACACCATAAACTTTTCTTCTCGTTCGTTTATGCATATACCCCTATACTTCCCAACACGTACATATACACTTACACGTACGCATCACGCATTAAAGACGACCTTGTAACAGAGTCGGATGCGCTCGTAGCAACTGATTATGGTGATTATTGTTATTGTTGTTGTCATATTTTCCCATGCACATTCGTGCGCGCCGCTCGTACCGATGGCAAAATAATTAGCGTGTTTTTGCCTACTGCATGCGTCTTTTCTGTTCCCTCGTGTTGTGTGTACCTTTTTGTGTATGCATGAACCTTTGGTATACTGCCCCGTTTTTTCCCCCATTTTTGAACGAGAGTTGTAACAAAATAATCAGACGAAACTCACGAAGGAAATCATCATTTCTGCAGTTGACGGTATTGACTTTTGTGTTTACACCATATAGTACCACACAGCAGAACTGCACACGAGTACATATACATGTATTTTACGTGCTCTCGTTCTCTCCGTGTTTTATGGATCGGCAATTGCGCGCCAACTTTTTATACCGGTCGTTGTGATGATTTTCTCGGATCCCTTGCCTGCGTGAGGGTATACTTACCGGCAAATCGATTTTTTCGCTCTCCTTTCCACTCGCGCTTATACCGTGAGAAACAATTATCAGCATTGCCGGTTTCTGTGCTGATTTTTCATTCCCCCCCCCCCTCTCTTGTTTCGTTTTCAAGCTTAATACCCTTCAAGTTTTGTTTTTAAACATTTTCCATGTTGATATGAAGAAGTAATTATAAGTACATGGTAATTAGTTTAGTTTATTTGTCTCTCATTTATGCATTGAAAAACGTTCACGTATCGAGAGAAAAAATAAATAAATAAATAAATAAATAAATGCTCTCTGATTCAATCCAACGACCAAATCCGCACGTAATCTACCTCCAAAGCTGCCTTGGATCCTCCATAGCGCTGCCACGATGGCAGCCACTTGTTCTTCGCTTCCCAGAAGTACAACATCGCCTGTCGAGGAGAGAGAAGTGAAGTTACAAAAAATTGCAAATCAGAAAACACATTCATCAAAAACGTAAGTTATACGTGTTTTGGCGGTTATACTTTAGCGTTCACGTTTTTCCAAGGCTTGAGGTAAGAGTCGGTCTGCGTGTTGTCCGGGAAAGCCCGAATGCCACCCACTCCGAGTCCAATCGTCACGTAAAACTACAGATCAAAAGAGTTTGTTAATTTTCTCCTTTCCTGCTCTACTGATGGACCGTATAGAAATAATTACACTTGGTGGTTATATAATTATACATATACCTTCTCATCGAATGGCATCATTTTGTCCGGAACGGCGTCCACGTTGCTGGACCATCCGCTGGTGGTGGGCGTGAGTCTGCCGACTTCCTCCTCGTCGACGTAAAACACGAATCCACGTGACGTCCAGATAGTCTTGTAGACGTGCCATGCCTTGTTCCAGGGTTGGTTCTTTGGGCTGATTTTTTTGACCAGTGATTCCTGAAAATTGGCACCGTTGCCGTAACCCACGCCAAACTCCAGCAGCCGAGCGCCGTAGTCCTCGGTTATGTTGCCGGTCCGGGTCAGTACGGCGTTACCCCGAGCGAGGCCCAAATTGATGCGAGCGTTGGCGTATTGCTTGTCGTAGCTCTTGTACAGTGGTTCTAGCCATATTTCTTGAAACGGACGATCGGAAAGGCAAATAATAGTTTTTAATAGGTAGCATAAAGTGTTAGTATTTTTAGAGGAAAAAAAAATGACGCGTCCAATATCGCCGTCGTCATCAACGAAGAAATGGAATTTATAATCATGCCATTGTCTGGTCAAGGCGAGAAATCAATTAATTTCTAACTTGTGGAATCTATTATTACGTCAATCTCGCTGCATTAGCGTTTTTCTTGTCCATCGATTAAACGCAACTCACTGGTGATTGATAAAATATAAAAACTTTGACTTTCGCAATGGTTATTCAATTTCACAGAATCGTCATTAGCAAGATACGTAATTATAGCTTTTTTGTTCATCCCAAAATTTTTTTGTTTAAAAATATTTTTTGCAGTTGTCCTAGTGAAATGACAAAATTAAATGCCTTTGCATTCATGCGTTTCAAAAAACAAATATTTATTTTGTGGTCTTTAGTTTCAAGCGAAATCATGTAACTTTACGATGTATAAAGATGTAGAGAAAAGTAACGATTACAGTTTATTAGGACAGTTTGTAAAAGTTACGGAAATTTAATAATTCTGTTCCATCACTTAAAAGTTTTTAACAAGTTATTTCAAATTATCTTGAACGCGACAAAAAAAAAAATAAATCTAGAACTGTTTTACTTATATCCTACCTGGATACAGCCAATCTCCCTCGGGAAACTTGGCCCGAACTTCAATGACACCGTATCGGAATTCAAAGTGATTTTTCGTTACAATTTTAGCGGATACGATCGGGGGAAGTATGTGGTACGAAGCCGCGTGTTGCTGACACTCTTGTTGAATCGTACTGCTACAGCTGCAAAAAACAAATCATTCAACGCGTTATCACTGATAAATTTTTTTTTCCCTCCCAATTTGGCTCGCTTAATTCGTGGTTTTTACCGTTAACTTGCGTATTTTTTGAAATACAGTTCTCCGAGCTTATACAGTTATCACCGACTTTCGCAGCGCGTGCTCTTTTACCCCCTCCCCCCGTGGAAATAACTGGTACACATATGTGTGCCGTACTTGATTAAAAAATCCATGCAAGAGTGTCGTGTGATATTTGAAAAATAAAAATAAAAATGCATGAAACGGCCAACTTACTCTGCCAGTCGCATTTGGCCGATGAAAACGGCATCCTCTCCGTAATCGTCTTCGAACAAGCTCGGCTTGATGCGAAAAATCCCGTTTCTAAAGTCAACCGTTTCCCAATGCTTGTGAAACGTGCAGAATTCGAAATCCTGACGAACAGAAAAATCGTTTATTATCACTTAAAAAACAAAAATACACAACAACGTGCCTTTAATTAAAAAAAAAAATAATAATCTCCACTCGCATCACGAAATAATTGCGAGTTGCTCGATCACTCGTGCAATGAGTAAACTTGAACGTATATGCACCAAACTTTGNATAACCATTAATTTCCTTCTTAGATGTAGTTGTCTTTCGAGGATAAAAAAAAGGCATGCTTTTGCTTGCCGTATCTTTAAAAATTGAGCTGCTTTGAGTGAAACTTGAATAAAACAATAGTAATTTATTGGTTGGATATAGGAATAACGGTGATAACAAGTATATATGCATACACATGTATAAAGAAAGAAAAACACAGCCCTCACTTACCGGATCGAGCGGTATTTTAATCTCCCTGCTCCATCTGCTCGGCTCGAACGCGTCAAAGTTCTCCTCGAAGATGAGATGACCTTAGCAAAGAAGAAAACGGAAAAACCATCAACTACAGGTATAAGTATATCTTTTCGCCATCGGCAACGCTCGCTTCTTCGAAACGACACATTACAATCCAGTATACATTCTTACAGCGAATGTATAAATCAAACGCGTGCAAAACAAAATGTCTTTAAATAGGTGTAAAAGTATATGTTTATGCATATATACGTACCGGTCGTAGCGGCCGCGCAGAACACGTTTTCCCGATTCGAATTAATCGAGGCGAGGAGAATCGCCAATGACGCCAAGACGGAGTTGCTGCCGATGCTGCGCGTCCTCGACGGCTCCATCACCGTCTTTGGCTGGTGCTAACTCTCAGCTTCATCTGTTATGCGTGACTTGAGATATACTTACGTATTAGACGTTTTCCTCATTCAGCGAAAAAAAAAGCCAACGCGAAATTGATACGCGATTATAGGCATTGCTTATATTGCATCATCAGGAAGGGAGGTAATTCAAAATCTTACCGCCCACCTTGGACATTGTTATCAGGCAGATGTCTTTCTTATCAACGGCCGTTGCAGTAGGCCTATTATTGTGCACAGTGGGGCCGTCTGCTACACACTTTTCGGAGCTTTTTGCCTTAGTTTTGAAAGTTTGATCGATACTCTATCGAATAAACAATCAAAGGAAATGTTGGGTTTGGCAACGAGAGCATCGGTGCTCGGTACGTTCCTACAGAAATTATCTAGAGCGAAAGACGGAAGATTTTTGTTATTCAGTTGTAAAAGAAGTACGCAGGTCGGAAAGTTCTCGCGAGGTTATGCCGTGATTTGCAGCGAATGCGGCTCGTTGTTTGATAAACAAATAACTGCAGGTGGCAAATCGAAGGAATCGTTTTTTGGACAATTGAGGTGGCTGTCTACGGAAGAGTGAGTAAAGTGTTTGTCTTTTTTTTTTGCTTGGATATCTTGTGTAAAATAGATTGTTTATTGCGAGTCGTTTGTTTCTCGGAAATTAATTTGATTGTTGTTGTTGTTATCTTCTTCTGTATACGTACAAACATTGTGGTTTTCATTCTCGTTGAATTATTCATAGAAGACGTGTGTGATTTTTATCTGTATATTTTTAGTAGAATAATTTTGTAGGCTAGTGAATCAAGTGCTTTAATATTGTGTAAAAAATCCGAGACTTCAGGATATGTAAGTATGTGTTAGTATTTTAAAAACCACAAAAATAATTTGCACTTGCCCCAATGTTTGTTCTGCAATTTAATTCAATGACACTGAGGCTTATAATTATCCATAGTTCGTTTTTGTTTCAGAGATCTCAAATCCATCAGCTTTGAAAAAATTTGCAATGAAACACTAGAATCGCTGTCGGAATACTTTGACGAAATTATAGAGGAAGCTGATCATCTGCAAGATGCAGATGTATCCTATGGTGTGAGTATTTATTTGATGATGATGCTTGTTAAACTATGATAATTTTTGAATGATTGTTTTTTTATCTTAGGATGGTGTACTTACAATAAAATTTGGCAAAGAATACGGAACTTACGTTCTCAATCGCCAAGTTCCAAATCAGCAAATTTGGTTGTCATCCCCAAAATCTGGACCAAAACGTTACGACATTATTGACGGCACTTGGATATACAAACATGATGGAAAATCGTTGTATGATTTACTGAACGAAGAAATTCCCGATGTTGTTAAATTTCCAGTATCCTTTGACAAATGTTCTTATGGTCTTGGTAAAAAATAAGCCTGAGTTTATTATTACTTCTTTTAAATTATATTGTACATAATTTTAAATTAAAAGAAGACTCCATTTCAATTTATTCCTTTGTACATAGTGAATGTAAATACAATGAGAAGATTTAATAAAAAGTTGAGTTGGTTACGAAAAAAAGCGTGTACATCTATTGAATCACCTTCACATAAAATTAAAATCTCTAATTGTTGTAAGGATTAAAGGTACTTAAAAAAGAATTTATACTTTATTCATAGCTCAACATGGAGATTATGGAAGATGGAAATTTGGTGGATCGGGTGAGGATTCTCTTACAACGAGATATGCAGTATTATCAGGTAAGAGCACTTTTTGAAACTTACCAGTCATCCTTTTGCAAACGAGCAATTTAAACTGTCTCCCATTGCCATTATTTCGCCCGCTAAGTTGGTACATGCAACAACAATTTAAAAAAAAAAAAAAAAAAAAAATCAAGTACAAACTGCCCAAATGTAGGACGTCCAGACGGTTCTGCGTGAACCCCTGTGCGTCAGAAAGTGCGGCGGCCGGTTTGATTTTCCGCGCCTCGCCTCGTTCGCCGCAATAAAAATCATGACCTGGTGGGAGGTTGAGTTCACGGAAGCGTTCAAGCGACCGTCAGGGTTGAGCTGCGCAGGCTCCGACAGCAGTCCAAACGCCACCTCGGACGAGGACGCCGAAGCCGGGGCGGTCGTCAAGAAGATCCAGCCGAGCGAGTTCATTTTGCTCGTCGTCGAAACGTCCGAGCAACTCTTGAGTGCGCCGAGTGCCATTATTTTAACCGTCATTGCTCTATTTCGTTATCTGTATTTTTATACCTACGATGTTGAAATTATTCATTGTTTTTGAAGTAGTTATAAATATTCCTTATGATTTTCCTTTGGTCTTGCAACAATTATAATTTACTTTGAAGAAATTATTTATATTGTTTGTTTGATTTTCGTTAAAACGATCGAGTATCGTATTAGATTGTACACTCGGATACCGATGGTAATCTCATGTTAATTTCAATCGCAGAGCATCTCCACACGTTGTTGCAAGAGTCCTTGGATCACGCCGATCTAACGGTGCTCACGGCCACTCTCGGGGCCGCGGCTCTTATCCGCAATTGTCTCTGGTGCTACAAGCGTCAGGCCAAAGGTGAAATTCCCGAAGACACGAGGTAATGAATTTCGACAAGTAAAACGCGTGTAAAACCTTTTTTTTTGTCTTCGTTGTAACTCTCAGTATATTTTTGGGCCAGAATTTCGCTCTTTTTCATAAAAATACGTTTCAATAACAATGAAGACGTAGCCACGCGATTGTAACAATGAAAGTTTAAGCTAGACCTTACCATTTCGCGAATCGATTTTCTCGCTGTAATTTTTAAAGACACCAATGGAAAAAANGAATACTATTTGGTATCAGTAATATTTAATTGTTTAACTATCGATTACCAAGCACACCTTTAACCTTTATAAAATTTAATGATTTTATCACGGACTAAAAATATGTTTACGTCCGACCATATAACGGTTTTTACTACTAACACACAAAAAATTGTGTTAAGAAAAATACCTTATTATTCACTGTACATTTTGGATGAATTCTATTTTGTATCAGTGATATTTAATTGTTTAACTATTAATTACCAAGTACATAAGGAAAATTTGATAATCTTATCAAATACATTATGATAAGCAATTCAAATACAATGGTTTTGATTCCGATTGACTTTGACAAACAATCACTCCAAATTTTTTTTTTTCAAATCAGACAAATTTCAAATAAAAGTAAAAATACAATGGTCCCATTAAATTGACTCTTATTAAGGATAAAAATTTTATTTGGATGAGATAGCCTTTGAGGAGGTTGGGAGGAAGTCCCTAAAGGCCACGCGATTGTAACAATGAAAGTTTAAGCTAGACCTTACCATTTCGCGAATCGATTTTCTCGCTGTAATTTTTAAAGACACCAATGGAAAAAAAAAAAAAAAAAAAAAAAAAAAAAAACATTGTTGATCATACCTTAGCGAAAAACTATCGAAATGCTACAAAACGTACAAAGAGATGGCCGAGGCCGTGGCCGATAGGCTATTGGATCTGCACAACCGGCTCATAGCGCTTTACATCCTCAACGAGGCGGACTCGCTGAGCTGGGAGAGCGACGAACCCTTTTCCGAAAAGGACCGATGCTCCTACGTCATTCAAATGTGGTGGCTGTACATGCAAGGTGACTCGATGAGTTTATGCAATATCACCAATTAGTTAAAAACATTACTAAACGTTACGCTCAAAGGGACGAAAACGGACCTGTGGAACACGGTGTCCCCCAAAATGGCCCAGCGTGTCTTGGCCGGTATGCTCAACGATTCCCTCACCATCATTGCTTGCCGCTTCATTCACGTAAGAGGACATTCCATTGCATTTGCATGAAAAATAATCCAATGGCTAGTGGAAAAATTTTCATACATTGTAAGACAGTAGTAGAACGCATATATAAGTACATGTTTTTTATTCTCTTGTTTTGTTGGACCCTTTTTTCAATTCTGCGTAGCGTAGCCGTAATAAAAACTTTCTGTACATAATATCGTTTTACATAAGTGGAAAAAATTGGTTTAAGCGCGCGTACACTATACGGCTTATCAATTAACTCTAAAAAAAAAGAAAAAAAAAAAAATATTCAACAATGAAGGGTCGCCCAAGTCTTACGCGCTCGAAGCAATTTTGGGGCGACGCGTTCAACATGATGTGCTGCACGGCCCGACTGGCCTTGAGCGTCTGCGTATCAGGCGACGAGATGATTGGACTCAACGAAACCGACCTCCCGATCCACGTTCGAGACCTACACGCCAAGTGCTACCATATACTCGTTTGCTTCCTGCTCAGAGGCGCGCCCCTCAAAACGCTCTTCCAGGTGATTTGGATCTTTTTTTTTTTTTTTTTTTACTGTTTCCCTGCACCACTATAGCTCGAATCAGATGTAACAATCATTCACTCTAATTGTCATTCAGTGCCTTTTTTAATCATCAACTCATCAATCCGTCGTAAATAATAATCCAGCTCCAAGCAATAATATCTGGCGGGCCTGTGTTTGCAGGTGTTTCGCAAGGGTCTGGACGATCTGACGATCTCCAAACCAAAGTGGGGCCCCGCGCCGTGGCTCTACGTCTTCTCGCCGGAACTGCTCGGAGTCTCCCACGACAAGTCCACCGGGTTCAAGCTCCTAACAAAACGCCAGGCAGCCATTCTCGAGCTCAACGTCTTCAAGTCGCAGCCCCAGCCCATCTGGGCGCAACTGATGAAGGTATATACGCCGTACACCCGGATAGCTTTTTTTCTTTTTTCACGTACTACTTTGATCTTATGGAAAAATTCCTCTGAAACGCAGATCCTGCGCATGGACGACTTCCTGATATCCAGAATGTTACTGCGCGTCCTGGTGCGCCAGTGCATCGGTCGGACGTGCGTGGCCCAAGTGCCACCCAAGATCTCCAGTCCGCGCTCGACCCCCGAGACGAGCAAAGACGGCCAAAAGACCAACGAAGACGACGACACGTGCGGGGGCTTTTTGTGCCCCGGGAATTCGTGCAAGCGCGTGCTGGACATCAGCCCCGAGTTGGCCTTGCACGCGCTGAGCTACATTCTTACGGGCACCGGTTGGGATCCGCTTCGTCACCTCGTGATCGTTTTGAAGAAGGAGGACACCGCTTGGTCGACTTACTTGGACAGGCATCAGGTGTGATAATGAACCTGCGTGTTTTAACTTGGTTACAGATATCATGATGTTTTTTTTTTTTTTTTTTTTTTTTTTTTTTTGCAAAGGTCTGGAATCAATGTAGACCACCGTGGCTCAATGCAATGCTGGAATTCATACGGCCAGCCATGAAACCCATCGTCCAAATACTCATGGACGCGGCAAAGGTAGGAAAAACGATTATTATTGTTATTAAATACCGTCGATTCTTCACGAATGTACCATTTAAAGAAATTCAAAGCCACTTTGTACGTATTGAAGGTTCTTCATCGTACATGTGTCACCGCTTTGTTGTAGGCAGGGGCGAGCACTTGTCAGGCAATGTCGATGGCGTTGGAGTACTTGGATCATCTTCACGATTGTATACCTCACGGTGTGCTGCGCATCGCCTTGGCAATGGACGACAACGTGCCAGCCCACTGTCGGCCGATCGGCGGCTCTGTCGCCCTCCAGGTCAGCCAACTCCAAGCTCGACGTGTTTTTACCTAAACACCCCCACTTTTTTTTACTTCAAGTATGGTAACGTCCTTCGTATACACAGCTGCTGTGCTCGGCGTTGTACACGGCTCTCCTCGAAGAGGGGAAAAACAGCCCCGAGTCGGGTGACTGTTCAAGTCCGACCCAAGAGTCGGAGGTTCATGAGCCCACAAGTGCATCATCCAGCGTAAAGTACAGCAGGTCCGCCTCGGCGATAGCCTTCGCGGAGGCGATCTGCAGCATAGACGAGGGCGATAAACACACTGCCGAGATAAACAACCTTCTTAAATCGATTCGCGCTTTCGTCGAGGATCAATTAAAGATCGAGAGCTACTATCAAGTTAACGACGAGATGTGCATCATTGAGATCTGCACGGATGAGATAGCCTTTGAGGAGGTTGGGAGGAAGTCCCTAAAGGTTCGAAATACTTTTTTTTTGTTCATCTAAGTTAAACGTTCTTATCGTAGTTCTATCATTTTATGGCTTGCAAAGAATAAGATAGGTGCTTACTGAAAATTTTTCACAGACTAATTATTTTTCTGACGATTTGCAAATCGTCGACAAAACGAAAATTCAATACAAAACATTAATTTTATAAAAATATACCCCTTATTCATATAGGTATCATCAAAATCATTTCAACACGAAAATATTTGAGAGCTATCTGTACTGCCCAATTATTGTTTATAATTCTGCCCTTGTAGTCAAAGCTTCGAGCACACGTGATACACCGATCATTGCATTTAAAAAATTAAATAGTCTGTTTTTCCCCATAACCTTTTCAAGCAAATTATATCTCTTTATACCAGCCAAAATGGCTCTTTATATACTATACGCACGCTCACTTTGCGCACCTACGCCTGAAATCTCAGTTGCCCATAATGTAAGAAAGTATGCTTCTATCGCCGGTTCAGATCGTGCACGAGTACTTGATGCGCATTTCCGACACCCTCCTTGAGATCTTACTGAGCGACGGTAGCTCGGAAGTGCCAAACTCGCGCTTCCTCGCCGCTCAGCTGCCCATACCGTCACGCCCACTGACCCACACGATGTTCCACATTGATAACGCGCCTTTCCACCGGCTGCTCATGAATTACGAGGGCACCATCGACTGGGAGCTCATGTTCGAGGTGCCGCTCGCAGTGACGGTGGAGCGGATCAAGTCGCAGGTACTCGCGAGGCCGGACATCAACAACATCCTTCAGCTCGAACAGGAGGAGCGCGAGGCTGCCAACTTGATCAAGAAGATCTGCACCGCTGGTGAGATCCTTAAGCGCGACTGAATCGTTCATCGATTGCTGCATTTTGTAGGATAATTTTAGAAAAAAGTGCCTTATCATAATGCTTTAAACAAGGAATAACCATTAATTTCCTTCTTAGATGTAGTTGTCTTTCGAGGATAAAAAAAAGGCATGCTTTTGCTTGCCGTATCTTTAAAAATTGAGCTGCTTTGAGTGAAACTTGAATAAAACAATAGTAATTTATTGGTTGGATATAGGAATAACGGTGATAACAAGAGTGCACGAAGCTAGCTCGGGTTTGTCTAAGTATAGTGTAATGAAAAAAAAAAAAAAAAAAAAAAAATGTATGGTTTACTCGTTTCGCTATTGCCATATATTAATTCATGCCAAACATTGTTAACTAGTAATTATTTATTATTAAATTTCGCAAAATAATGTTGGTGAAACGTTCATTTAGTAATAACTAATTATTCGTACCTATATTTATTTTGGTATTCCCTACGTATAATGTTAAATATGTATTTGTTTTTTCTTGCTCCCTAAAGTCTAATTTCGATGAATTTCAAATAAATTTTTGTCATCTTGCTTTTACGATACGTGACATGAATTATTTTGTTTATAATAATTTTAGATACCTAAAATTGACTCTATTCTTAAAAATTTTTCGATGTACATTAGATAGCTTTACTATAATTTCTATAAATATTTTTCTACTGGCTGATGTGTAGCTGTTTTATTGTTCGGAACTATCACATCGAAAGCACCAAATTTCTGGACGTTGAAATATTTTATTACGTTAATTTAATTTGTACCTTAGCTTTTTTTATTTTAAATTATATGATGCCTTTCTGTATTACATTAAAACATTGAGACATAAAGATTTTCATTTTTATGGAATAAGTACTTAGGTTTAGAGTGAAAGTAACATAAAAAACTCAAATTTTTGCGTCTGAGCAAACATTGGTTTTTACTACTGTTTGAAAGAAATAGAACGGTTTTAAACGGAAATTTACTACATGTACCTATGCATAGTATACTATAGCCATAGTATTAACAAAAGTATTATAGTATTAAGACACTTATTGTTATTACAAAAAAAATCATGAAACAAATGCAAAAATAAAAATATTTACGTCCGATCAAAGATGGCTTTTACTACTGACACAAAACAATTTGTGTGGTTAGAAAAATATACTATTATTCTCTGTACATTTTGGGGTGAATCATACTTTATATCAGTGATATTTAATTGTTTAACTGTCGATTATCTAGTACACCAGGAAAATTTAATGATTTTATCAAGGTCTAAAAATATGTTTACGTCCGACCATATAATTGCTTTTACTACTGACACAAAACAACTTGAGTGGTTAAAAAAATGTACCATTATTTACTGTACATTTCAGTGAATACTATTTGGTATCAGTAATATTTAATTGTTTAACTATCGATTACCAAGCACACCTTTAACCTTTATAAAATTTAATGATTTTATCACGGACTAAAAATATGTTTACGTCCGACCATATAACGGTTTTTACTACTAACACACAAAAAATTGTGTTAAGAAAAATACCTTATTATTCACTGTACATTTTGGATGAATTCTATTTTGTATCAGTGATATTTAATTGTTTAACTATTAATTACCAAGTACATAAGGAAAATTTGATAATCTTATCAAATACATTATGATAAGCAATTCAAATACAATGGTTTTGATTCCGATTGACTTTGACAAACAATCACTCCAAATTTTTTTTTTTCAAATCAGACAAATTTCAAATAAAAGTAAAAATACAATGGTCCCATTAAATTGACTCTTATTAAGGATAAAAATTTTATTTTATTTATATATTTGTGTAAAGCTTTACAAAGAATACATTGTTTTCCTCATGATCTAGAGGTTTTCCGATCGACTGCAATTTTCACTTGTTTTAATAAAATATTATTTGAAATAAAAAATTGAATTCTGTTTATTGTTTAAAGCAGATTTAATTATGACTGCTGAACTTTAGATATTTATTGGTCGAAAAGATTCGCTTAATTTCAATTGTTATCTGAAGTCAATATGTTCAAATATATAAGTATTTACATTTCTATTGTTAATTCACGTAAAACTACATTAGCTGATCAATTAGTCATTGTAAAATATTCAACTAGATCTTTCAATACCAATTGTTGGTTATGGATTATTAAATTTGTAATAAAATTAACTATTACATAAAATTTGAATGTATAATTACTCTTGGTCTGAATAAAATTTTAAATAATTATATGCTACTCCACTAAATATACATTAAGAGATAGAAAAAAAAAAATTTTACTTTTATCAGCAACAGCAGGGCCTCACGATCGAAGCGTACGTAGATCCACGGATATTTTTAGGTAAATATTTTATAGTTTGCTAATTAAAACACATTATGATAGCTTACGGCTAAATTGTTAATAAATCATTTTATAAGCAAATCAATTTTTTTATTACCACAAACAATGGTACATAAAAATACTTTAAACTAAAAATCAGTGAGTACGTGCAAGTAAGTAAATTAAAATAGTTATAAATGTATATTATGTATACAATATATAAAAAAAATTACCTAATCAATCAAAATCACGAAAGCATTAGATCAACTGCAACTTACAACTAAGTATTGAGAGAATAAAACCTCATTAAGTTAATCTTTTTTTTGGTTTTTTTTTCACTGCAATATACGCTATATTATCAACTCTGTAAAAAATACGCAGTGAGTTGAGTTTCCTCATCGTGTCAAATGGACGATCCGTCCAAGGATTCCAGCCACCGATCCCTTTAAACAAAACGTGACGAGCCTATTACCATTTGAATAGACCAGAAACGTAAAAAAAAAAAAAAAAGGTCAGAGCAACTCTTGAGTGCGCCGAGTGCCATTATTTTAACCGTCATTGCTCTATTTCGTTATCTGTATTTTTATACCTACGATGTTGAAATTATTCATTGTTTTTGAAGTAGTTATAAATATTCCTTATGATTTTCCTTTGGTCTTGCAACAATTATAATTTACTTTGAAGAAATTATTTATATTGTTTGTTTGATTTTCGTTAAAACGATCGAGTATCGTATTAGATTGTACACTCGGATACCGATGGTAATCTCATGTTAATTTCAATCGCAGAGCATCTCCACACGTTGTTGCAAGAGTCCTTGGATCACGCCGATCTAACGGTGCTCACGGCCACTCTCGGGGCCGCGGCTCTTATCCGCAATTGTCTCTGGTGCTACAAGCGTCAGGCCAAAGGTGAAATTCCCGAAGACACGAGGTAATGAATTTCGACAAGTAAAACGCGTGTAAAACCTTTTTTTTTGTCTTCGTTGTAACTCTCAGTATATTTTTGGGCCAGAATTTCGCTCTTTTTCATAAAAATACGTTTCAATAACAATGAAGACGTAGCCACGCGATTGTAACAATGAAAGTTTAAGCTAGACCTTACCATTTCGCGAATCGATTTTCTCGCTGTAATTTTTAAAGACACCAATGGAAAAAAAAAAAAAAAAAAAAAAAAAAAAAAAAAAAAAAAAAAAAAAAAAAAAAAAAANCGGATTCATCTATAGCAGGATCGGAGTCAACCCCAGGGGGAAGAGGAGGGCTCCATTTATTCGTCTTTAAAGCGATCCTCGAGCATTGATCCCGTGCATGCCGGCAGACGCGTAATCTATACGCTCGTGAGAGAGAAGACGTTAAAAGCTCGGGCGTATAGGTTGAGATGACTGATGAAAAAAAAAAAAGGGAGAGATGGACAGAGAGAAAACAAAAAAAAAATATGGGCACCAGCGAGAGGACCCGTCGACCCCTGGGTAATGGCTAGACGTGGCTCGTGGGTTGCGTCGAAGCGTGTGATTGCATCTTGAAACTCGATAGCGATCAAATACACCTGGTCTTCCGGACCCTGTGCTCACGGTGTTTCGTGCGAGCTAGAGTCTACTGCCTTTGGCTAGTACGTGTTCCTTCTTTTCATTAAAAAAAAAAAAAAAAAACAATCATCGATAAGATGTGTATTGGTTTACGGTAAATTCATCCTCTGTTTGCATTCGTCGCGAGTGACTTACATTGATCGGTATTTTTAATGCCCCGTTCTAGTATACACGCATGTAATGCCCGTCACGTTAGCTCTCGTGTTACCGCATAAAAGTTTCATGACGTATCATATACCCAGTGAATGTGGGACTATTCATGTTAAAATTTTCATGATTAAATTTGTCCACAGTCACCGTCCTGCTCTCAAAACTATGATGAGATAAAAGTCAAGTCGATATTTATACCATTGGGTAATCACGTGGTTCGTTTAAAGAGGGGATGGTTAACTTTTTTCAAATTTTTTTGTAGTTGTGAATCGTGAAAGACTATTGTTTATGATTAAATTACGATGAAAATATTGACTGTGCCAAGACTTTCAATTCTTTTTATTGTAAATGATAAATAATGAACAACAAAGAATACTATAGAGTTTGCATGTGGTGCATTAATTCAAAATTTATATTCATAGTAAAAATCTACATTAAACCACATTTTTATTTCTTTGTCGATCGTGTGAGGGTTAGGTGATTTGAAAAAAAATTTTTTTTTGTTTTTCAGTGACGTACTAGTCGTCCGTCATTCACGCACTTCTCCAGGCTAGCTCCATGCTACGACAGAATGAGCAACAATGTTCAATGAATTATATCACATCGGTGAGTGACTCAAATTATATTAATTTATGCGTATACATTAAAAACCATTAATCAGAGAGCAAACTATCATTTTTCCAGGGAAGCACAAAATAAACGACCAACCCGTATCCCTTAAACGAGGAGATCATATATTATAGAGTCTGCATCCTCCAGTGGCTTCCTGACACACACCATCCTTACATCATCATTGCCGCTGTCGTCGTCATCTATGCGCGTCCATCGCTCTCGAAAACCAGGTAAGTGGCCCGGGTGCCACGCATGCATACACACACACACACACACACACACACACACACCACTCTCCCCAGTGGGCCTTTTAGTCTTTGAACAATATTTGAGTTGCATAATGTGTGCCGATGCAACAAAGCTTGCACGCAGCGCAGTGTGTACCCAACGGATTGGCTTTCGACGCCCTTTTACGCCATCCTTCGCTGGATATATACAGCCAGCCGACGGATCGAGTGATGCTCGGTGTGTGTTTTATTTGCCGAATCCCCGTATCCTATACTGTACGCTCATTGTGCTCGTAATCCCTGGTCTGGGTGTCGTTGACTCGTTTTGTTGTTTTTGTGCCCGCTTGGTTCATGCAACCAGTGGCATTTGGTCCATGTTGTCAACAAAACATTTTTTTAGCTCCCTTAAATTTTGAGGAAATGAACAATCATGAGATCTACATGGTTGTTCTATAAACTTGAGCAAAGTTTTACTTGTTTGTGAGGAAAAAAAAAAAAAAAAAAATCATAAGCTAGTTGTCGACGATTTAATTACATATCAAAGATTTTAATTTGCCCTGTAAATGTATTACAGAGAACATGCCTTATCAGGGTATCTTTAACAGGTACTTCATTGTTACAGGTAAAGTGTTATTACGGAATCTAAACGATACTTACGAGACACACTTTTGTTTCTTTATACCTAATAATAAATACTATAACAATGAAATCAATTCAGCGTTTTGGGTGGGTACTCGAAAAGCTTTTTTGTTGGCAATTATAAAAAAAAGCCATACACAAGCTATAGGTACTCGAGAAGTGTTTGTGGTAGATGGTTAATTTAGATGGCACACACACACACACACAAACACACACACACATAGGATACATACATGTATGTGTGTGTATATATAACTGCTGTTACTACTGCCGTGCATGTCAGTCAGTCAGTCAGTCCGTGTTCGTTCGAAGGTCCTAGATTAGATCGCGCAGCATGTGCGCTCCGGCTTGATATTATTATTTCCACTCTCGTGTGTGCAAGTACAGTATGCAACAGTATACATACATGTGGAACTAAATGCGTGCTAGAAAAAAAAAATCTATGAGCGACCTTATTTTTATTTTATTTTTTCTTGCATTCAGAGCTATGTATTAATTCTTTAGGTATCAGATTCAAATAGCTAAAATTTACGGCGTATGGAAGGTTACGGTAATTTTTACCGTGAAATCGTCGCTGCGACTAGTACTGTAATTTTTTTCAAAGATTCTAGTACTCGGTACGATTCTTTAGGAGGAATTTTCGCCACAGTAGAATCAATGTTGAATTTGATTTAAATATAATTAATTAAAAGCTCAGAAAGCCTTAGTTGGTATTAAATATCTTTTTTCAGGGAAAAAATTATAGTTTTGCTTTACTGTGAAAGTTATAGCGATATCCAAATAAATTTGACGGTGATAAAAATAACACTCTTAAACTACAGCAAAATTACTGAAATCTTGATAAAAATGATCGTTTTCATCGCAGTGTCCCAATTTCGAGGTAAACATTACTGTAACCTTCTTTTTTTCAACATAGATATACAAAGATTTAAATAATTTCTGGCTGTCTATACTTGTGTAGATATCTGTAAATGTTAAACAATTTTTGCCAACTTTACAGTACACATGATCTTACAATTAAAAATACATTACTTGTTTATACGATTATTCATCATGTCAGTATATGCTTTAATTATTTATACTATTTATAGCTTCACATGATGCATTGAAATATACATTCTTCTTGGTCAACTTGATTTCCAAAAAATAAAATATGCATGAAAAGTCGTGAGAAATTGATGTCTGATAAAACAAAATTACCCAGGGGACCTTTGACTAATGCTAAAGTGCTGCAATAGCCGTGGAGCTAAAGTCACTTGTGAAATTTCGTTCAATTTTTTCTATTCCTTGAAACAAAAAGGAAAAAAGAAAAAAAGAAAAATGATAAAGCCAATTACTCAGCTGTTACCCTACATAAACATGTATACGCGCATACAACGATCGATAGCACATATAATTAGCTCGTAGCTCGCCAACAGCAGCAGCTATGCAATGTATACACCAGTAGCAGTGGCGTTAAAAAAATTGCTCTTCTATATTTTAACCTGGAATTCGGCATTACCCGTATCGGTAGATCTCTCGGCGCGAAATCGTGTACCTACACCTTATAAACGTACACTCGCGGGTAACTTCAATGCCGTCGTATCGGTGACTCGTGGCAGGCCATTCCTACCATCTACCCTTGTACTCTCCAGCATGAACGGCTTATGACAGGTAATATCCCAAGTCACGGTGTGTGTACGTGTGTTCACGTGTATAGGTGGGGAGAAAAATACCATCCGGTCACGTCACAGCATATACACAGCCCCTCTGCGTGCCATCGAGATCTCTCGGGGTTTGTCCCAGTGTATGTGCGTCGACGCATGTGTAGTATGGAAGGGTGGGAGAGAGGGAGAAGTTGAGAAAATCCGGGAGGGTTTTTGAGCAGAGCATCAGCATAGAGAGGGAGAGATAAGATGGCGAGGAAGGCCTGATAAAACGAGGGAGCTCGACGGTAAGCTCGCTCGTGTACGCGTACACGATACCTACAATCAATTTGTCGATCTATCAATCTGACCAGCCGCGCGAACTCAATTTTTTTACAGCCCGACAAGATGAGGAGGAGGAGGCTGCTACGCGTTATGAAGGGTGACAGGGACGTTTGCTCGCGTATATGCTAAGCCCGTGTTCGCTGGGATTTTATACGGGGATTATTATGTTTGTGCGCGATAATGCGGGCTAGTAGTTTTTTTTTTTTTTTTTTTTTTTTTTTTTTTTTTTTTTTTTTTTCACCTCGAGGATAATTTGTATATAATTTACTGCGGAAAAGAGAGAAATTGTCAGCGCCACGTAGCTTTCCCTGCTTTCGGGTATTTTTAGAGCATACGTTTCGCGTGTTTGTACCGTACTTTAGTGGGAAAGTGATTCAATTATATTTATATTTACAGATGAACTTTTAATTTTTCGTTTTTCCCATTGAATCGGATGGATAAGCGATGGGTGGAAAATAAAAGTGAGCTATACATACGTGTATTGAGGTGTGGTGAGGGGATTCCGATGGTTTTTTGAAAATTGGTACAGCCGAGGAATGCCGTGTTTCTCCAACAGACGAGCTCGCAGTCGCGGTCTAAACTAACGAGAGACGCGGTTTATTTTTGGATATCTCTCCGACGCGGTCACTCTATTTTCGTTTGCATCCACCATCGTGCGTGCACATCATTTGTAGGGTGTATTTTACGATACGATACGCCTTCGTTGGCAGATTCGAGCTAGATCCGATTGGTTTTTTTCGGTTGAAAATCTATTTGCAACGATCGAAGATACGTCTTTTTTAATCAATAAACGTATATTATGTACGGGTGTGCGCGACTACAGTGAAGTTACAAGCGGTTGAAAGAAGAAGCGCGTCTCGGGTTTGTTCCGTTGGGTTGAATTTCCCGCCGGAAAATGTCTGCTTGTTTTCGAATTATTACTTACAGTTGTGTTTGCTCGCTTTTTCCCTACGGAACGCTACCTATATCACGGCTTTTTCATTCAGACGGATAACATATTAGGTAATTGATACTATGAGAAAAATCATTGGGGGCGACGTTTTTTTATTCAAATGCAAGTAAAGCATGTAACGTATCGACTCGCGTAGTTCCGTTTCCTTTTCGTCTCGTGCGTGTTCGTCGTCCAGTCTGACGTTGCGGTGCGTTTGTTCGCTGGCAAAATTCATCTAGTTTGTTCATAAGGTAAATATATCCCTTGTTCGTGTTGACGTTGTTGTTCAATCGCACGAAAACATTGTGATTCATATTTCGATTCGCGTGAAATCACGACTGCCAAGTGTTATTGCCGAGTATTTCGTCATCCTAACCTAACATTCGGCGACTCCAGTTAACGGGGGTACCCATGAAACTTTATTTTGCTTGACTCGATGAAACCCATTGATCTGATTTGCATATTGTGCTTCAATTGAATTTACCTTTTTACAGACAACGATGATTCTTATTTGACTTCATTCCAAGTGACTTGTATGTCAGAAATGTAAAACGTTCCAACTGTATTTGCATACTCTGTCCCTCCTGTTCATATCAAAGTCAACTATTTCCTGATCAAAACGTTTACAAGTACTTTCATTCCCTTGCATATTTAGCTTATGCAAATAATGAAAAAGTCCACGCATACCCAATTATCTTTATCAAATTCGCACAACTAAAAATGCTTATCTAGTAACCTACTAAAAAATTAATTGAAATAATGTTTTACAACGTTATATAATAATTAAAAATGCTTTATACTTTTTTAATCATTCTAGACTATTGAAATGGAGGAATATTCACGAGAGCCTTGCCCATGGAGGATAGTCGACGATTGTGGTGGTGCATTCACAATGGGAGCAATAGGAGGATCAGTGTTTCAAAGTATCAAAGGCTTCAGAAATGCACCCAGTGGCTTAAACAAACGATTCAGTGGGAGTTTGATGGCTATTAAGCAACGTTCACCTCTTATAGCAGGAAGCTTCGCAGTTTGGGGTGGTATGTTTTCAACAATAGATTGTACGCTTGTTTACTTCAGAAAAAAGGAGGATCCTTGGAATTCAATTATCAGTGGAGCTGCTACTGGTGGTATATTAGCAGCAAGAAATGGCTTACCAGCCATGGCTGGTAGTGCTATTATTGGTGGAGTTTTGTTAGCGCTTATAGAGGGAATTGGTATTATGATCACGAGAATGACTGCTGAGCAATTCAATCCTGCAGCTACATTTGAGGATCCTTCACAGCTTGGACCTCCTCCACAAGGATATCCATCATAAGGTCACATTTTCTCAGCTTAACCGCTTTAGACGAAATTTTCAAAATACTATATAATAGGCAAAGTTGCTTATTATGAGGATTTTCTATTTGTCAGAATGACAAATGTGTATAAATTATCGAGTACTTAGGTTAAGAAATAATAATTGTTCTGTGTTACTACAAGTAGTCTTATGGTTCTTCTCTAGTTACCCATTTTAGAAATGAAAAAAAAAAAAGAAAGGTTACATCAAGTTGCAAATATTTTATTTTCAGTTAAAAAATAAATGACATTTTTTAAGAATTGTACAATCTATTCTTCCATGTCATCGTCCTCGTCCTCTTCGAAATCTTGATAATTTCGCACGGTAAGATCAAGGTCTTTAGTTTCTACTGTTTCGCTTTTCAAATCGGTATCTTTGATATTAGTTTCATCAGATATGTTGGCTCCTGATTTCTTGTTTATTTCATTCAATATATGAAATTGTTCTACCTAAAAAATTTTTTTATTTACATAAATTGAAATCTCTATCAATGACACTTTTGGTTGGGCGTGTAATAATAAGTCTCATACTAACTTGTAAAGCATGAGCTTGTTTATTTAGCTTGGCAATCATTGTCTTGAGCCATTCTTCTTCTGAATGCAGATCTTGCTGACAACGTAATAATTTATCCATAGATGAATGTTGATCATTCATGATGCCAATGTTTGTTTAATGAATAATTAAGTTTTAAATACATTTGAACAACTGATGATTACCTCTACTGACATTTTACGTATTTGTTTACATGAAAAAGGTTAGGGGTCTGAATTCTGGTTAAGTCGTTCACTGACGCACCATCCAACAGTAACTTTTTTCAAATTTTCTACCCTATCTTTCGTCACTATCTTTCGTCAGTATACGATTTGAATGTAAAATCATGTGGTTCATGATGTGGTTGTTGAATTATATTAGTTTATTTACGTATTAATGATTATGTAATTAACAGCATTTTTTTGACAGGTTCATGGGCCATTAAAAATGTGTTTGATCTTAGAGGCCCTTGTTTGCCATATGTATATAAAAGTTTACATCATAACAATAGAATAAAAAAAATTTTAAAAAAATTCAAAATTTTGCGGTGATGAATACTTATATTTTTTACTATAAATTGGAAAAAATAAAAAAAATAATGGCTCCAGAGGGGATCGAACCCACGGCCTTCGCGTTATTAGCACGACGCTCTAACCAGCTGAGCTATGGAGCCGCTGAATGTATTAACCTTAAAGTCACTTTGTATTTCTAACTTTACATATTTCAACCAAATATTGAGTACCAGTTTTTTTTTCAACATTTCAAATTCAAAAAAATTTTTAAGCTTATCATTTTATCAAGTATTTCTGAAGTTTTAGGAGAAAATAAGACAGATGAATGGTTAAATACTATAATACTTTATTTAACTTTATACCCTTAGTCTTACATGAAATATTATCCTGTTGATAATTCATGATAAGAATTGTCAGTTACAGAGGCCCTTATGAATCATTTTCGATTTTTGACTGAAGCTTCTGATGTAACTTTTACACATACAACTTTAAATTGCTTATACAATTATTTCATAAAATCTATACTTAGGCAAATATAGACCTTTTAAATTTAGGAAAGAAAAAAAATTATCTTTTGCCAACTTGGCTCTTACGGTTTATACAAAATAATACTAGATCATTTGTTTTTCATCAAAGTTTAGCCAACATTTGCGTCTATGGTTCTATATTTACATGTACATTCATAAAACGGTATGATTAAATCGCCAACCACAATATATAATATATTTTAATACATTTGTCTTATACACAATAATGATAATCAAAACGAAGTTCGCGACGTACACTGCAGTTGAATCAAATGCTTATAGATTATCGATAACGAACACATGATCCTAATGATATTTTCAACAAAGTTATGACTTACAAAGTAAAGGTTATCTGTGTACTGTAAAGCCTATAATTAACTACCTAAGCTTTGGAAGTTTCGTTTGTTTCTCTACGTTCGAGCGACTTCTTTTAATCAACTTACACAATAACTATATACGTATATGGAATTAATTACACTTCTCCTACCTAGCTCCCATGACATTTTATCTGTATTGTTGATTAATGCGTAAATAAGGTAGCAATTATTTATGTTCATCGTTCATTCTACAATTTTACTGGTTAATGTTCTTCTTTGGTTGAATTCGTCCATTTCAACGAATATGTACGAAATGATCATTACAAAATGGAAGCGAACAATAAATCATTTTGCTTGAATGAAAGTGTGTGTACAGGGTAGGACAGTCTTTTTCGCTGGAGCTTTTAATATTACAGTTTCTCATTTAGACAAACATTTTTTCCAACCGATTTTCATCCCCTTCGATCGTCTTTACTTTTCTTTAACCAAATGGTAGTTTTGAGTACTTATTAAAAATTATACATTCATTAAAAGGGATAAAAGGAATGCATTAGATATATTATGTCGAGAAATCTGAAAAATCACAATACAGTATTATGGGAACCTAAATTATAATACATCTCCCAAGCCTACAGGTAACCATGATCTTTAACTTGAACAGGTAAATCTGGTTTGCCCTCTATCACACTCTGTTTTTTAACCCTGGAAAAATGTATAGTAAGAGGAGTGGCCAAAAATAAAAAAAAATCTACTCTCTCAGCTGCAATTTGTCTTTTGAATGCTGTGAGAATCATTGCTTTGCTTGAAATGAGATTTAATTTAAGAAAAATATTAATCAAGATGAATGTTAGGGATGATTCAAGTAAAAATCTAAAATTTAATTGACCTGATTGATATCTTTGAGTCTATAAAAGCTCAAATAAAAGCTTGTTTTAAGCGCACTCGATTGGTTTTAAGATGAGTTAAGTCTAGTGACAAGTGTAGTTTTTATCCAATTCGATTTATCTTTCTCCAGTTACATTTACTCCAGCTTATATTTTTCCAGAGTTAAACAAAAGATGTGCCACAGAGCAAATCAAGATAAGAACATGTGTATAGGATTTGGGGTCTGCAGAGTGTGACACGTGCAAACTTTTGTTGTTTATTTTTTTTCCCATATTTATCTTGTGATTTTTCAGAGATTTCGACGTTTCATTGTTAAAAAAATTAGCAAACATTCACACTAAAAATAATGAAAGTTTAACGTTAATCAAAAATTCATTAAAATTTGATTTTCACATAGCTGAAGCGATCAGTCGAAGTATCGTTTAGCCATCACCGTTTTTTCAAACTTACTGCTAGACTCGCACTGCCAATAATTCTTAAAAATTAAACGAAAACACAAAGCCATCGTGCGAATAATTAGTTTTCAGTTCCGATTAGACGATTCGTGGCTGACACTTTGTCAACAGTAGCAAAGTTTCTAACAAGTGCAATCGACGAAAATAAGAAACCGATTTTTTGGACACAATCACATCATTGTGCACTGTAACCCAAAGCCCTTTCAACCCCACTGCTTTGATCAATGCAACAAGTGCGACTCGCAGCGATGCACAAACGAGAGAAAAAAAAATAGCCCAATTCACAAACGATAGATTTCTTTACGCGCAATCGGCGTAGTAGCGCTGTCATTCATTGCTCGCGACCGGCGGCGAGTCCCGGCTGTTCTCCCCGACGAAGCTATGAAGGGCTGCCGTACAAACGGGCATATCGAGGCCGGAGCTCGTCGGCGAGCTGCTCGTGCTGCGCGTCGCCCTCTGCTGTTGCTGTTGCTGGGAGGAAGCTTGTCCCGCGGTGGCGCTGGCGTCGGGTGGCACGAGGCCCTCCTTGATGCGCTTCTTTTGCTTCATGCGCCGATTCTGGAACCAGATCTTCACCTGGGTCTCGTTTAGCTTGAGCGAAGTCGCGATCTCGATGCGCCGGGCCCGAGTCAGGTACCTGTTGTAGTGGAACTCCTTTTCCAGCTCCGTGAGCTGCTTGTTCGTGAAGTTCGTGCGACCCGTGTTGTTGAAGCCCGCGCCCATGCCCTGATGTGCCTCGAGGCTCAGGGACACGCTGCTGCACGAGCTCAAGCAGCTACCGCCGCTGCTGATGCTGTTGATGCTGCTGGTTACACCACCGCTGCCGGCACCGGGACTCGACAGGGCGCTTGGGTAGCCGCTCGTGACTGACGGTCCGCTGAACTCTGATATGCTGACTTTCGGAGCTGAAACACGAAACATACACTTTATCACACTTTTCAAATTAGACTTATACATTTTTTTATTTTTTATTCTTATCTATGAATTGATCTATGATTGGTAATGGCGAATAAAATAATTAAGCTGTGCTATACGTGTCGATCGTCAATCTTTAGAATGTTACATATGGGATGGTCAGCATACACATGGCATCGCGTCGAGCGGGCATCAACTGACCGGTGCAATATGCGTGGATTAGTTCGCCCGACATTGCAGTGACCACCGCCCGCACGAGCAACTGACCCATCCATTGCAGCTGGTCTTTGCAATAACAGCGCTGTCGTTCCGTTTCCATCGCACGCATATGTATTATTTTCCATCGAGAAAGGGTTGGGGCACCAGTTGGCTGTCCGAAACACGAGCATAGTTACATAATATCTCTTTCTCTGTGTTTGCCAAAGATTTTCCTTTATTGAGCCGGGACGCGCGGTTCGAGAGGATTTAAATGATTTGGTTGTCTTTGGATGAATCCGTGGGTTTTCTGTTAGCTCGTAGAGGCGAGTTGTACGGAGTTGTACGTGTTAACAGTAATGAATGCACTTATCGTATTTTCCCTCGACGGAAGTGGCATTATGAAAATTAGGGGCGTGGGGAGGGGGCACTTTGGAGCTAAGATAGTATATATTTATGTGCTCGTCAATTTGCCTAATGGAAAAAGAGGGCCGAGGGGAACTTGGTATCCACGGGCTTGTGATTTTAGAAGAGGGAAAAAACTCTTTTTTCAAAGAAGTAACGTCTCCTTATTATCAAACATTGATTAAATGGGTTGGTATACATTGGAAAAATTGCAGTAGCTTTTGTCAGCTGATCGAGAAAAGTAGGGAAAAAATTTTCCAAGTTGTATAGTTTGGTCAACTGAGAGTAGCGCTGAGGACTCAAAAGAGTAAGTAAACCTTCGAAAGTAGAACGGAGTACGAAATATCTGCTCGGTAAATTTCACTTTTTTTCCAGACCGCGAGTATCCTTAGCGGATTAATCTTCGCGAAGTAGCTTATTATTGAGTTACGCGGGCGAAAATACGCAGACGCACGCGGTCGCTCTTTTTTTCTGCGTCGTCGTCGCGTCTTACTTATTTATGTCCTTTTTTTTTGTTTTCTCTTTATACTCGGCTCTGCATTTCTCTCGCGTTAGTCGCTAAATTGATGAATGAGCCGCTAAAAGAAAGGAAAAACTTACCGACGCGTCCTGAGACTCTTCGCGTTATATACCTACTTAATAGAACTTGTCCAACTCGATTATTTATCAGGATTCTCCTCGATTCGGCAAATATATTATATACATACGCTTCGCCTTACGTTTCGAGCATAAGTGACTGATGGCTTCTCTCGCGTACGTCACTTCTTTTTTTTTCTGCCCTTTCGTACTTTCTTCTCAGTACACAAAAAAGTGTGCGACTTTTAAAAGTTTCTTACCTCCCGATTAACATATATTATCAGGGAGGAGGTAAACACAAGTCTCGAGAAAATGGCAAATATTAATGGGCACTTGTCAAATTGTATACAAATTTTACCACCCTTTTAAGATGGAATCGTCCACCAACGTAACAATTTTTTTTTTTCATTCTCGCAAAGTGAAACATCCCTTCCTGAAAAAGAGTCTCGAGTTACGTGCGCGAAGGAGGAGCGCGGTAGTGCGATTTTCACGCGGAGATAACGGGACTGACGGTCGGAAATTATTTGTCCCGCTGACAAGTGGCCCCGGCTGCTACAGCGATAGCAGTGAGTCGAGCCGTCGTCGACGAGACGCTAATTATCTTACGCTCCTTCGACCCTTTACCCGAGTGCAGGTGGCACTTGATTACATTGTCAGGCAGACGTATTGCTCTGCTCGGCTGGATAAATATATTTTTTTCATCAATATTTCTACAAGAGCAAGATACAATTGTAAGGATCGTACAGGAATGATTCCAAGTGAATGTAGTAGCTCGATCATGACACTGTAAACAAAATCGATTACAGCCCGTACTTACGCACAGGAAAAAGGGTTGCGTGGACGCGCAGTGCCGTAAAGTATTTTTTTTCTGACCCGTGGAAGCGCAACGGTTTTATGGTACTTGGCTTCATTTATTTTCATACCCGATTTAATATATACCTGTACAAAACAAGGTACAAAACACTCCAAGAGCCGTGTCTGTTTTTATGTCACCCTCGTCCCCTCGTGCATGCGACGGTCACGTTGATCACGCGACATCACAATAATAATATCCACCAGATCCTTCAATTTGGTACGATGGTAATAAATAACTTTACGCCAGTCATCTTCGCGTCGAGACTGTCGTGCGTTTCAATAATTCCGATATGCAGGTTATCACGGAGCATTCGCGCGACACTTCCCCGAGGTGTATGCTAATGAAGACACGCACGCATGAGAGTAGATTTTTGTGTCTCCGCGTGTTGTTATTTCCAACGCATTATCGGGCGGATTCATCTATAGCAGGATCGGAGTCAACCCCAGGGGGAAGAGGAGGGCTCCATTTATTCGTCTTTAAAGCGATCCTCGAGCATTGATCCCGTGCATGCCGGCAGACGCGTAATCTATACGCTCGTGAGAGAGAAGACGTTAAAAGCTCGGGCGTATAGGTTGAGATGACTGATGAAAAAAAAAAAAGGGAGAGATGGACAGAGAGAAAACAAAAAAAAAATATGGGCACCAGCGAGAGGACCCGTCGACCCCTGGGTAATGGCTAGACGTGGCTCGTGGGTTGCGTCGAAGCGTGTGATTGCATCTTGAAACTCGATAGCGATCAAATACACCTGGTCTTCCGGACCCTGTGCTCACGGTGTTTCGTGCGAGCTAGAGTCTACTGCCTTTGGCTAGTACGTGTTCCTTCTTTTCATTAAAAAAAAAAAAAAAAAAACAATCATCGATAAGATGTGTATTGGTTTACGGTAAATTCATCCTCTGTTTGCATTCGTCGCGAGTGACTTACATTGATCGGTATTTTTAATGCCCCGTTCTAGTATACACGCATGTAATGCCCGTCACGTTAGCTCTCGTGTTACCGCATAAAAGTTTCATGACGTATCATATACCCAGTGAATGTGGGACTATTCATGTTAAAATTTTCATGATTAAATTTGTCCACAGTCACCGTCCTGCTCTCAAAACTATGATGAGATAAAAGTCAAGTCGATATTTATACCATTGGGTAATCACGTGGTTCGTTTAAAGAGGGGATGGTTAACTTTTTTCAAATTTTTTTGTAGTTGTGAATCGTGAAAGACTATTGTTTATGATTAAATTACGATGAAAATATTGACTGTGCCAAGACTTTCAATTCTTTTTATTGTAAATGATAAATAATGAACAACAAAGAATACTATAGAGTTTGCATGTGGTGCATTAATTCAAAATTTATATTCATAGTAAAAATCTACATTAAACCACATTTTTATTTCTTTGTCGATCGTGTGAGGGTTAGGTGATTTGAAAAAAAATTTTTTTTTGTTTTTCAGTGACGTACTAGTCGTCCGTCATTCACGCACTTCTCCAGGCTAGCTCCATGCTACGACAGAATGAGCAACAATGTTCAATGAATTATATCACATCGGTGAGTGACTCAAATTATATTAATTTATGCGTATACATTAAAAACCATTAATCAGAGAGCAAACTATCATTTTTCCAGGGAAGCACAAAATAAACGACCAACCCGTATCCCTTAAACGAGGAGATCATATATTATAGAGTCTGCATCCTCCAGTGGCTTCCTGACACACACCATCCTTACATCATCATTGCCGCTGTCGTCGTCATCTATGCGCGTCCATCGCTCTCGAAAACCAGGTAAGTGGCCCGGGTGCCACGCATGCATACACACACACACACACACACACACACACACACCACTCTCCCCAGTGGGCCTTTTAGTCTTTGAACAATATTTGAGTTGCATAATGTGTGCCGATGCAACAAAGCTTGCACGCAGCGCAGTGTGTACCCAACGGATTGGCTTTCGACGCCCTTTTACGCCATCCTTCGCTGGATATATACAGCCAGCCGACGGATCGAGTGATGCTCGGTGTGTGTTTTATTTGCCGAATCCCCGTATCCTATACTGTACGCTCATTGTGCTCGTAATCCCTGGTCTGGGTGTCGTTGACTCGTTTTGTTGTTTTTGTGCCCGCTTGGTTCATGCAACCAGTGGCATTTGGTCCATGTTGTCAACAAAACATTTTTTTAGCTCCCTTAAATTTTGAGGAAATGAACAATCATGAGATCTACATGGTTGTTCTATAAACTTGAGCAAAGTTTTACTTGTTTGTGAGGAAAAAAAAAAAAAAAAAAATCATAAGCTAGTTGTCGACGATTTAATTACATATCAAAGATTTTAATTTGCCCTGTAAATGTATTACAGAGAACATGCCTTATCAGGGTATCTTTAACAGGTACTTCATTGTTACAGGTAAAGTGTTATTACGGAATCTAAACGATACTTACGAGACACACTTTTGTTTCTTTATACCTAATAATAAATACTATAACAATGAAATCAATTCAGCGTTTTGGGTGGGTACTCGAAAAGCTTTTTTGTTGGCAATTATAAAAAAAAGCCATACACAAGCTATAGGTACTCGAGAAGTGTTTGTGGTAGATGGTTAATTTAGATGGCACACACACACACACACAAACACACACACACATAGGATACATACATGTATGTGTGTGTATATATAACTGCTGTTACTACTGCCGTGCATGTCAGTCAGTCAGTCAGTCCGTGTTCGTTCGAAGGTCCTAGATTAGATCGCGCAGCATGTGCGCTCCGGCTTGATATTATTATTTCCACTCTCGTGTGTGCAAGTACAGTATGCAACAGTATACATACATGTGGAACTAAATGCGTGCTAGAAAAAAAAAATCTATGAGCGACCTTATTTTTATTTTATTTTTTCTTGCATTCAGAGCTATGTATTAATTCTTTAGGTATCAGATTCAAATAGCTAAAATTTACGGCGTATGGAAG